GGTCTTATTTACAAAGCATATCCCACGAATAAAATGGTGAATATATTTGGTATGTGTATCGCTCGTGTCATTGAAGATTTGCGTATTCAAGATTTACAAGTATTCTTTTGACAGAAGATCTTTGATTAAATTGTTCGTCATTGATTCGACCCACTGATTTATTTCTTTACAAGCAGCTGCTGAATTTGTAAAATCCATTTGACTTATTTGAGCTGAATAATAATTTTTTAAATGCTCAATATTCGTTCAATATTTGACAGTTCTTCTGAGCATACAAACGATTGGCCAATTTCAATTTGATGTCACCTTCATCTGCAGATAAAATGACTTCCATGACGGTTTGTGCAGTACAATTTAAATCAGTAATCGATTTATAATTCATTGTTATCAACATTTGAGCAAGTGTTTCATTTTTAGCTTTTGCTGTACACATTGACATGGCAAGAGCCATACTCGCCGGTGAAAGAAATACATTTTCATTCCTGCCGTCACTCTTGCTGATTTCATTGTAAAGTTGTAAACCAAATTTTTCATAACCAGCGCCATCGTTCGACGAACCAGATGGTATTGCCATTTTTATTTGAATAAAATAAGCTGTGTGAAATGTAGGTATAATAAAATTTTGATAATTATGAATGTTTTTATTGCATCATTCAATAGTAAAAATGAGGCACATCAATGTTCTTTTTCTAATTTTTTTTTTATTAGGCAGAACTGTGTCAAGGTTGTGCCAAGGTTAATACACAACATCCACCTATATTCAAATGTGATCGTCCATTTTTGTTTATGATTCGTGAGAATAAACGTCACATTACATTGTTCACTGGCAAATATTTGTCACCGCCGAAATGACAAACAATTTAATTTCAATACATTAGATTTTTGTTAACAACGTTTAAACTTTTTATCGTATTTTGCTGTAATAGAATAAACATGCAAAAGATTCTTGTGTATATGCAACGATGACGTAAAAATGAGGCACATCAATGTTCTTTTTCTAATTTTTTTTTTATTAGGCAGAACTGTGTCAACACATTGCACACAAATATTACATTTTAACTATGAGTGAATAATAGATAAATTCTTTTTTCATTTTCTTTCGCTTTTCCTTTTTTCGGTTTCCTATTTACGATTATTCACTATGATTCATAAACGTGCTTGGAAACAAATGCTCTCCTCTTATGCAAACAACGAATGAATAACACGCGCATGTTAAAAATGATTGTTGTCCAGGGTTTATTTAAAATTTGCATGAATAATAAAACCGAATTGCTTTGACCTTCTGGTTTGGATCAATTAGCAGTGGAACATCCCATATTATCAATTTTTTTTCTTGCAAACTTATCATGAGAAGCACATGTAATCATTTTTAAGTTTTTCGAACAACTGCATTATAATAGTGCTGAATATAAAAGTAAGGTGTTGTCGGACTATTTTCAACTTTAATCTATATTAATTTATACGGTCAAAAACATTTGATTTAAGCATATATAATTATTTTGCTGCATAAGCGTGCACATTGTGGACAAAGTATAAAATTGACAAATGTACATTTTCGATAAAAGATTCTGGGAAAGTATAAAACGTAATCTGAAACTGAATTTAGACTATAAAAAGCAATAAAAACAAATCTAAATTACATATGAAGCATAAATCAAAAGGACCAAGTATTAATTTGTGTAAGTTCTGTTTAACACACTTGATTCTTATCGAGTATACAGTGCATATTTTTTTGCATACATTCATGTTCGGCAGATTCCCATTATGAAGACGTGCTTTTTCAACGGTTTCTTACTTTTGTCCGCTACTGTGCAATAGATGCGCACACGTCATCTGACCTACTAGTAATGCGCCCCCTAGGCGCAGAAAAGTTAATCGATATTTACGACAGAAAACAAAAACCGCTTGAGTAGGTTATGTGAATCTCGACACCTTGAAATAAGTTATATCCGTCGAAGTCAAATAATACTGGAACGTGTTATTTGTTTATTAATTTTCTAAGATTTTGCACCTGGTCAAA